GCCTGCTGCAAGAGCTCGTGCCGGCCCGACGGGATCCTCCGGAGCAGCTAGACAGGAGCAGGGCGCTGCGTTCAGTGCCTGGGGGCCCAGCTGTCGAGATTTTGTAGGGACAGGCCCTGGCCTTGGGGCTTTGTGTGAGACATCTATTCCCCCACCCCTCACCTCGGTCCTGATTCTTCACACTTGCTCTCTTGTCATCACCTACAGCATCACCCCCACTGCCAGCTGCTGCAGCCATTGCTGCTGGGGAGAGCGGCCTCTCACGCTGTTTTAAACCATGCACAACTCCTACTACAAGAGGGTGCTGCCTGGCTATAAGAGGTTGTGATCTACTATTGGTGCCTGACATGGTGGCTCTATCCTAAATCATAGGGTTAGACGGGACCATAAGGGTCAGCTAGTCTAACCCCCTGCCAAGATGCAGGATGTGTTGTGTCTAAGCCAGCGATTCTCAGGCAGGGGTACGTATAGCCTTCAGGAGGTATATCAACTCAGCTAGCTATGTGCCTATTTTACAACAGGCTACATAAAAAGCACTAGCAAAGTCAATACAAATTCAAATTTCATATAATGACTTGTTTATACTGCTCTATATCCTATACACTGAACTGCACGTACAATATTTATATTATAATTATATGGTAAAATGACAGTAAGCAGTTTTTCAGTAATAGTGTGCTGTGACACACTTGTATTTTTATGTCTGATTTTGTAAGTAGTTTGTAAGTGAGGTGAAACTTGGGGGTATGTAGGTCAAATCGGACTCCTGAAAGGGGTACAGTAGTCTGGAAAGGTTGAGAACCAGTGGTCTAAATCTTCCAAGACAGATGGCAATCCAGCCTCCTTTTGAAAACCTCCAGTGTAGAGGCTTCCACAACCTCCCTAAGCAATATGTTCCATTGTCCCACTGTTCAGTTTTTCCTGAGATTTAATCTAAATCTGTTTTGCTTAATCTGAACCCACTGCCTCTTGTCCTGCCCTCTGTGGCATGAGAACTTTTCTCTATCTTCTTTATGGCAGCCTTTCAAGTATTTGAAGATGGCTATCATGTCCCCCCTTTCCCCCATCTCCTCTTTTCCAAACTAAACACATACCTAGTTCCTTCAGCCTTTGCTCATATGGCTTGCATTCCATTCCTTTGTTGCTTTCCTCTGGATCCTTTCCAGTTTCTCTACATCCTTCCTATGCATTGGTGACCAAAATTGGAAACAGTTCTCCAGTGGAAGCCTAACCACCACCGAGTAGAGGGGTTATTATCACCTCCTGTGACTTGCATTAGCAGAGGCATAGCATGCAACCTAAAATTGCATTTGCTTTTTTTTGCAATGGCATTGCTGACAACTCCCAGATCCTTCTCAGTAGTGCTGCTACCAAGCTAGTTATCCCCCATTCCGTATTTGTGCATTTGGCTTTTCTTCCTTAGGTGTAGCACCTTACATTTTCTGTTGAATTTCATTTTATCATCTACAGCCCACCTCTCCAATTTATCAAGATCCCTCTGATTCTTAGCTCTACGCTCCAAAGGGTTTGCAAACCTTCTCCCTCCCTCCCCCAGCTTTGTCTCATCTGCAAATTTCATCAGTACGCTCTCTATATAACATTAATAAAGATGTTAAACACCAGACCCAGAACAGATCCCTGTGGAACCCCACTTGAGACCTCCCTCCAATCTGACATTCCATTAATACTCATTGTTTGCAGTTGTTTAACCAGTTATGTATCCACTTACTGGTAGTTCCGGCAAGCCTGCATTTCTCCAGTTTAATTATCAGAATGTCATGTAAGGCTGTCTCAAAAGCCTTGCTAAAGTCCAGGTATATTATGTCCACCGCATTCCCCCTATCCACCAACCAGTTACCCTGCCAAAGGAGGGAATATCAAGCTGGTTTGGCATGATTTGGTATCATATCTCCATCCTTTCCCACAGCAAAGATGGCCAGGAAAGAAGCTTCTAATCTAACTCACCTAAACAGCAAATCTCAATTCCACGTGGAACTCAAAGGATGATGGCTTCACACAGTGGTGGTGCTCGGTGAGAGGATCAGGACAGCAGTTACTTTCAGTGTTTGAAAACCCAACATGTCAATCCAAAACTATCAGAATATAATCAGAAGATTTATACACGAGTGTGTCTTACTGATGCACATGTAACTGTTTAGTTGATATCAATAACCTTACTTGCAGATGAAAATCTTGAGCAGCTTTATGGTAAGAGCAGCAATTAGATACACACAGCGTAGGAACCAAAACCAATACAGAATAAGAATTTGCTAATAAAATGTCATTTTAATAACTTTTTACAAGGAATCCAGCTATACACTTTAGAAAAATAAACATAAAAAAAGACACTTTGTGGCTTTCAATACAATCCTGCAGGCACACTTAAGTTATGGTTATCAGTTATTCCACATAAGTATGTAAAACATTGTTGTGAGTGAATAGTGACTTCCTCTAAAAGTGTAAATGTACTAAAATTTAATAAACCGATTACATAAAAATCTGATGCAAAAAACATTGCATAGACACTAAAATCCCTTTATTCAACTGCACATAAGTGTTGGATTTCCTAGTGCTTGGAAACACGAGAATACAAAAACATCCACTTCAGAAGGAAGTAGCAACCTGGGGGGTTCGGTCCCAGATCTGAGAAGCGCTCTGATTACTTTATGTTTCTCTGGTGAGGTGGTCCTGAAGTGTTTCCTAAATTTAAATAAAACAACCAATGAATACTGGCAACTTATTAGTATTTACATTACCAATTGTTACAGTAAAGAGGTAATCTCTTCCACAATCCACTTAGGAACAATACATACAAGGGACTAAATGGCCTACTAACCGGGAGACCTGGATTCAAGACTAGGTTCCTTTCACAAGCAGCAATGAGCTTGACTGTCTGGTCCTAATCTGATACCTTTTACCAGCAACTAAGTGTGATCTCACAGTTTATTTCAGGCTGAAGTGGACATGTTAAAGTTTACTGGAAACTAGAAACCATTTTATTCACAACATTGAGAGATTTTGCTGTGATCTTTTCAAACTATCTCCCACATAAACTAAAAGTATGATTAATAATTAAAGCAGCATTTCTGAGCCTTCTTCCCATGACAGCCACTTTTCAGAAAAGTGTCACTGATTATGCCAAGGTTAGGTAGTAAACTGTTAAACAAAATATTTGATTCTGTGAGGTGCTATCAAGTTTCTATCACAACATATCTGGGTTACCTATTCTGCTACAAGGAGCTTCAATAATTATGAAAACCACCGTTTTTCAAATTCATGGCAACAAGCTCTGGTTGAAATCCTGGCCCAACTGAAGTCAATGTCAAACTCCCATTGACTTCAATGAGGCCAGGTTTTCACCCTCAATATATAAAATACACCTCTACCCGGATATAATGCGACCCGATATAACACGAATTCGGATATAACGCGGTAAAGCAGTGTTCCAGGGGGGCGGGGCTGCGTACTCTGGTGGATCAAAGCAAGTTCGATATAACGCGGTTTCACCTATAACGCGGTAAGATTTTTTTGGCTCCCGAGGACAGCGTTATATCAGGGTAGAGGTGTACATCACCTTCAAGTATAATCAATTTTTTCATCTTAATTGGCCTCATGAAAGTGCTTTGCAAAACTGGGAATTAGAAGCTGGTATTAAAATAACCATGTCACTAAAGGTAGGAGCCATTAATAGCAAACACAGAGTGACATTGTTTAGCTTCTAATAACTGGTAAATTACATGATAGCGAGCCTGCACTGGGTTTTCCTAGTCAAAATAACATTTTTGTTTAGAAATTTAAGCTATTTAGACTGAGGTTAAAAAGAAAAATGGTTGAAATAGAAAACTGAACAAAAAAAAAGTTTCAGTTCATGAATATTTTCAAGATTGACTTTTTGTCCTGAATCTAGACGGAAAAAAATTAGAATTCTTAAGAATATTCGAATATTCCATTCCCTCCCCAACTATCTGTAAAGCTGTTTAGAGATCTGGTGGGAATGAAGCAACTTCAATTTAAACCCTCCTCTTACACGCTTAATGTCTGACAGTATAAGAACACAGAAAAGAAGAACTTTTTATCTTTGAACAGCTCCAGTTAAGAAATCATTTGTCGAAGTATCATGCTTTGAATCTTTTAAGATACAATCCGTGAAAGCAGTAAAGCTTCACTTCAAAAGATGTACATTTTAATCTCCCCTCCCACCATGACAAATGCAAAGTTGTTTCTTTTTAAAATGTTCTTCACATTTTGTGACTATTAAGGATAATATGTAGCCGGGTTTTGAAAAAAGAAGATGAGACTTTAGAAAAGTCTGAGGGGTGATGAGGTTCATTTTACCTGTTTGTGCACCTCCTAATCTCTGCTGGATAACCTCTAAGCGATGGATGTATTCAGTTAATGACCGTTCGGGGTCTTGAGTAGACACCAGTGACTTCTCCGAAGCTGAACTTGTGGATGGATGTAATCTTAAAAAGAAAAAGAAAAAATTAATCTTCTTCCTTTGTAAAGCTCACAATATACACACAGAGAAGGTGAGTGAGTCATTATCTTTTACTGATCAACTTCTCTTGGAGAAAGTGACATGTTTTCGAACTACACAGAGCTCTTCTTCAGGTCCTAAAGAATTCTGTGTAGCTTGAAAGCTTGTCGGTTTCATCAACAGAAGTTGATCCAATAACATATTACCTCACCCACCTTTTGTCTCAAATAGCCTGGGACCAACATGGCTACACCACACTGCAATATACACACAGCTAAGGCCAGCCTAAATGTCCTCATGTAGTTAATAATTCAATGTAAGGGAAACTGGAATTTCAAAAAGTGTTTCTGTACCTCTCAATCCCATTTTGTGTAAAAAAAGTGATGAATGAGGATGAGTGGTGTAATATTTGGGATGGAGTGTGAAAGAAAGTAATATTCTTGTTAAGGGCTGGAAACCTGAGTCTCAGCCCTGCTGATATCTAAGGCCTTATCTACACTACCGGGGTAAGATGACCTAAGTTAAGCTACTCCAACTACGTGAGTAACTTAGATCGACTTACTGCGGTGTCTTCACTGCACTGTGTCAACGGGAGATGCTCTCCCGTTGACTTACCTTACTCTTCTCGGGGAACTGGAGTATCAGAGTCAACTGGAGAGCGCTCTGCTGTCAATTTAGCAGGTCTTCACTAAATTGACGGCAGAATTCACTAAATTGACACCCGCTGCATCGATTGCAGCAGCATGGATCTCCCTGGTAGTAAAAAGCCCCAAGAGGTAGCCACCTAGTGGAAGCAGTTGGCAGGAAACAGCTGTAGAAGGCGGCCCAGGTGCTAAATCTTTTGCTCTGAGAAGTGGTGGGGAGAGCAGAGTTGGAGTTCTGCAAGTTCTGTGCTGCACCTCTTAGGGGTACAGTGCAGAATCTCACCCTTGGTATCTAAGACCCCCTTTGGGACACTGGGATTTGGCCACAGCTCCCCAACATTGAACAAAACTGGAGGTGAGCGCGCCCTCGACCCCCCCTTACCCAGATACACACACCCAAAGCCTGCAGATGTTTATTACTAATGAAGCATCATAACATTGTGGCATAGCCATCTCAACTAACATGGCTTTCACACAAGATTATTGAACATGCTTCTGTGAAGACATGGTAATAAACTTCAATTTGTGAGACACAAATAATCAAAAATTGCCTCTGTAGGGAGGGATCATGACCACAAACGTTAGAAGTTCTTCGTTTTGTCAAAATAATGTCATTAGATTTCACTAAGCAAGATATCTCATACTAAGAAATCAAGCACATACTGTGTTTAAAACCATTCAAAACAAATTGGAAATACAACTATGTTGAGCATCATGAGACAAATGTACTACATTTAATAAATTTCCATTCTTGTTCACATAATCTCCCAACAATAGGTTATATTATTATGAAAGACTATCTGGCAGAACAAATACAATACATTATGTTATACACTAGTACCTGTTATGTAACCAGTAAGAGGATTTTGGTGAGTGGCTCACAAATCTAGCAGAACTGGTTCTGTGGCACGATCCAATATCTCGGGTAGGGGGGGAGTTTACATTAACACTTGGGAGCTGCTGTTGTCTTAAAACTTCTGTTCTGACACCAGAAACTGTATTGAACAAGTAATAGTCAACAATGAAATTATGCACAGAGAGCCACAATATGTAACAAAACTAGTAAATGATAGCAAAATACATTTTGTTTTGGTTTTTGAGTCAAAGGCTGAGTCCCTGTTTTGAACAACTGTTTTTGACAGTATTAGAAAAGGCCAACATTTTAATGTTTGTAGTAATATAACCACTTCACACATACAACTGACAAATCATGCACATGCATGATGTTGAAAGCTACCTTGTGTCTCCCTTCTACAGTCATTTTTCATTATTGTACTTTAATATAACACCAGAGGCACCTTCATTCCCTGTTCCTATTTTAAAGCCTTTAATTCCAAATATTTTTCTCAATCAATTCTAACATCTCATGCTTGTTCTCATCCATATCTACAATATGGTTATAAGGCTATAGATATGGAGCAATACATATATCCACACTTTCTTTTATGAGGGAGAAGAGACAGGAGTCCAAGAAATTCCATTCAGTCAGTTGGATCCATTTGACCATGAAAAACAGATCACAAAAATTGGCTTTTGAGGAAACTGCCGAGATGTTGTTTTGCACTGAGGTAACAAAACCAGTAATATGTTTAAGATTCAGATTTGGGAGGTACCTAGGCCTTAATGAGAAATACAAAGCTTGAAATATATTTGCTGAGGTATAAAAGTGATACAAGTAAGTTAAAAATAATATAAAGAATGAAAGGTAATGTCCTATGGACATCGGGGACTGGAAAATGGACTACTTTATGGGTTAAATCTGTATTTAGTTCAATATGCAAACTAGTTTTTTGTTAAAAACAACGAATTAATGAAAAATTACATCTGAGATATTATATACACAAGTCCATTTATTAAAATCTGTGGTTCTCATAACACATCTTCATTTTTTCACTCTAATTTAAGGTTTCGCGTGCAAGTAATACATTTAAACATTTTTAGAAGGTCTCTTTCTATAAGTCTTTAATATATAACTAAACTATTGTTGTATGTAAAGTAAATAAGGTTTTTAAAATGTTTAAGAAGCTTCATTTAAAATTAAATTACAATGCAGAGCCCCCCAGACCGGTGGCCAGGACCCGGGCAGTGTGAGTGCCGCTGAAAATCAGCTCGCGTGCCATAGGTTGCCGACCCCTGGATCAGACCAATGGTCTGATCTCTAATAGTGGTCAGTGACAGCTGTTTTAGAGGAAGGTGCAAGAAATCCCACAGAAAGCAGTTATGGAATAACTTACCAACAGGGAAAGTCCTTTCCCAACCTCTATTAACTAGCTCATGTCATTCAAAAACTTTCGTTTATTTTTAATATTTACGGTAACAACCCTGGATATTGTTATCAGTGTAAATGTCCAGTCTCTGCATTACTGATATCTTGTGGCAATGAGTCCCACCCACAGGGTGACTGTGCATGGTATGAAAAATAATTTCCTTTGTTCAGCTTTAAATGCCCTTCAGTCTCGCTGCCTGTACCCTTACACCAGAGGAAACAATGAGCTGCTGTTGGAATTCCAGGATCTCAACCATTAAGTGGGGGGAAGTGATGTTGTAACAGCTTTTTATGATAAAATATCAAACCATTTCACTACTAACGTCTATTTGTTACTATTTAATAAAGACACACACTATTGCAAAGAAATGTTAATAAACCACAATTATTTTTCAAAAGAAACACTCACCTGGGTTATGTCCAATACTGTGAGAAATGTTTTCTCCCTGTGCCCCTTTTCTGTTTACTTTATGCCATTTTTTCACCAAAAACTTTAACCTTGCAAACAATATAAAGTTTGTATACGAATTAAAAACAGCAGAAAAACAAAAATTCACTGAGTTGAAATATTAAACATTATTGCTGATGTGAACATCTTAAACAGTACAAATAACAACCCCAGAAAGGAACTGGGAGCACAAAGATATTCAACTTAAGTCTCCTGGGCATAGGCTTATCAAATAGTTGACTGTGTTAACTGCCCTTCGGATATTTACTAAACAGCTGATGGAGTCAGACAAGAAAATTGAGAATGTAGAAACTGGTTTTAAAGCAGGGCTTCTCTCTACATTGCACCAAGTTGAGAGAAACCACAGTTATCTCAATTAAAAAAAACCTATGAAGTTTCACCCCCTCTGCCAGCTGTAACAGAATGCAGTGAACACAAACAAGAAAGGTGCAATACTAAGGAGCAGGATGAGGAACCTATCCTAACATATTTCCTACAAAGACATAAGATGCCATTAGGAGAATTTCACGCAAAGGTTTTCAAGATTCTATACCGGGGCAGGATGAGACAGAAGGAACAAAGGCATAAACAAGCTTCTTAGTGTGAAATCTTAATTTACTTTTTCATTTTAATGTATTTGACATTTTCTCCCTTCCTCCTTTGTGTGTGTGTCTGTCTAAAATGTTTTAAAAAGTCATGTTTGGTGACGTACAATATGCAAAGGCAAGTCCCTGGTAACAGAAACCCAGTCCCAAAAGACTGTTTATGTGGCAGTAAGAAAAGTAACAAACAGGGTAATACAATTATAACACCCTAAAAACACCAATCCCCCTCAACAGTTCTTGCCTTCCCTTTGTTTTGTCTCTGAGCGTAGCAGATCCTTCCCTTTCTCACTCCCTGCTCAGCGTGGGCAGAAGGTTTGCGGCTCCTTTCCTCTGTACGTATGAATGCATGATGTTGGAGGATGCCCTCCACTATACCGCAGCCTTTGGGGGCTGTAGGGAGGCCTGGGGCAGCTCCTCATGCTCCACAGGATTGGTCACTGGTTCCCTGCTCCTGCACGTCATCCTGCTGCTGTTGCCATGAAAGCTTCCCTCTCAGGTATAACAAAGTACAGGGCTTATTCCTGTGTTGGAACTAACTCCCTAATTAGACTCACATCAGGCAATTATTAACCTCAGCCAATCACACTTTTACAAAGTGAGGGGAAAGACTCAGGAGGAACCACCTGTTACATTTAGAACAAAATGATTTTAAAATTTAAAAAGTTATATTTCAATGACCTCCAACCAATAGGGAGCTGGGTTTTGCATCTTGAAATTATCTGCTTATTACAGATTGATCCTTTGTGACAATCAATTATATTATATATAATTATACAAATCAATGTGACAAGCTTTGTGACTGATGAAAAGTGGACTTGTTGGCAGAACTCAGAGGAACATACTCATCGCTGATGAAGCATGAATGAGGTCAGATGGAAGGATTAATACTTCAGGCCAATGACTGGTGATACAATAGTCTACTACTCAGTAAGCCCAGACAAAGGGGATATTGCTTGAATGGGTCATTCCTTCACAGGTGCTGCATGCAGGTTCTCAGATACCAGGGGGTTGGGTGCAGTATAAAAATAGACAGAAACAGCTTTGAGGAAGCAATCTTTTAAAGTATTCTATTAAGGCACATATGAAACACATTGGCCTTGAACATGCCATATTGGTCAAATACACAATTATTGTCTAACTATCACTCTGAAATAACTGTTGAAGAAATCTTTCACTCCAGAGTAAGTGAACTATAACTGAGCAGTTCTACAAATGAAAAATCTGGGGAACGTATTGTGGATGCTGTAACATATACAAGAAAAACATAGGGAAATTATTTTGTAGAGTTTGTTTTTACCTTGATACTGCAATGACCACTCTCACTGCAGATCTGAACTTGGTAAAAGGACGGGAACGTGATTCAGAGACCTGCAGGTCTGCAGGCGAAGGATAGACTCCCATACGAGCTATCAGCGACAGTGTTGCTTGCTCACAATCCTGGAATCCACCCAGAAGCAGAAGAAGGTATTTCTTCTGATAAACGAGAGCCTTTCTAAAACTCTCTGCTCGCAGATACTTCCTGTATAATTTCTGCAGCTGAAAAAAAACCCAAGTCATTGAAATTTAATTAAGGAAGCCCATACACTCGTTGCATAGCCAGACTGTTTACTCCCACAAGTTCTCCCACAACCTGTTGTCTGTGGCTTGACAAAAGTTAGCTAAAGCTGTTTTGCTTTGGAAAATTATGCGGAAGGCCATGTAATAAGAACTGCTTCTAAAACTTTGAATAAATTGTATAATGTTTTTGAAAACGAAACTTCCAATTAAAATTTGGATTACTGATGCTCCTGCTGATATGGACCATTTACTGAAAATTAACAGTGTTTGTGATATTGGCAGCATGGAAGCCTTACATGAAGGTCTGTAAGTCTGCTATACCTCTACCGGTCTACGAGGCCTTGTCTACACCAAGGATTTTTTGCAGGGTTACTTGACCAGTTAAGTAAGGTTCTAAGAACAGCTGCCAGAAGACATCTACATTAGTGCTTCCAACATTGCTGATATGGGGGCAGCTACAACAGCAGCAATTTCCTAGCGCAGACAAGACCTTATGTAACTAACTTTACAGGTATTTGATTTTGGACAGTCCAATTGCCTTAATATTTGTGAGCTTCTGAACACCATATTCACACCCAACTCTGGGAAAATGGTTTCACTGTTTACCTTCTAGAGCAGGATTTGTGTTAACTAGTTAATATTAATGAGCATTCAATGTTAATCTAACTTGATCACAATAAAATTGTCACAAAGGGGTTAATAGATGCTTCTGAAGTTCAAAGGAAACTATGCCCTGAATACATAATATTCATGGATGGTTGGTAAGTTCTTGTGACAGACAAGAGGCTTGTGTCTCCCTCAGACAACTTTTAGATCAGAGAGAGAGATGCCTGAGAGTTACAGAGGAATTTGTATCTTAAATGACCTGGCAACAAGAGTAATTTTTCTTATCAAAGACATATGCGGAAGAGTATTTTTGAATGACCTTGTGAACTACATGTTATCTAACTAACAATCTTTTGAAAGGTGACTGAGAAGTTTTTCCTAAAAACTGAAAACTTGTAAGATTCCAAAAGTGTAAACAATAATTGCAGTTTATATAGCAGAAAAATAATTCTATATTTAATGAAAATTACCTAATATCCTAACAAATATGAGATGCAGAGATCTTGCTTCTTTTGTCACAGCAAGTACGATCATATTTATCATAAACAAAGAGAATTCAAATAGGATTCAGAATAGAATGATTTTTCTTTTTTAACCTTCTTTATGGTATTCATTTAGCGGTTACCAAGAAAACTGCAGCCTGGGTTTCCCAAAAATCAAGGATCTTGATGTGGTAACTGTCTCAAATTGTTAAAATAAATGAAGTACATTACTAACAATGAGTATATACGTTATCTACTCTCAGAATCCTATTCAAGAGGTTTTGTCTTTTTTAATTAAATATATGATTAGATTCAAATTTAAGATTAGATCTATGCAGAAGATAACTATGTTCACGAAGTAAAGTAAAACCTACTTGTTTAGTTTTTCTAGAATATGATTTAAAGGGATACCATCAATTTGAAATCTAGTGAATTTCAAAAAACATATTAAGTAGTTTAAATATTACCCCAGCCAATTTCTATTGTTTAACAATGTTTTTAAAGATTTTTCTTCCCATGTTACATGTGAAAGAGCCAAACAACAGGGGAAACTGACTGGTTCTAAAGAAAAAACAGAACAGGAGTACTTGTGGCACCTTAGAGACTAACAAATTTATTAGAGCATAAGCTTTCGTGGGCTACTGCCCACTTCTTCGGATGCATATAGAAAACAGTGGACTAACTTTAAACAACGTGCTATAGAAGGCACAAAATACATTCATCTTTGGTTACAGTTACTTTTGACAGAGCAAACTAGCATAACAGCCTCATCCCTGAAAATCCACCTGGACTGCATGAAGTAACAAGTTTAGTTAAAACTAGGGCTGTCAAGCGATTAATAAATGAATCGTGATTAATCACTCTGTTAAACAATAATAGAATACCATTTATTTAAATGGTTTTGGATGTTTTCTACATTTTCAAATATATTGATTTCAATTACAACACAGAATACCAAGTGTAAAGTGCTCACTTTATATTTATCTTTGATTACAAATACCTGCACTGTAAAAAACAAAAGAAATAGTATTTTTCAATTCACCTAATACAAGTACTGTAGTGCAATCTCTTTATCATGAAAGTTGAAAAACCGGTTACCTACCTCTCGTAACTGTTGTTCTTCGAGATGTGTTGCTCATGCCCATTCCAATAAGTGTGTGTGCGCATGCACCGCATGCACGATCATCGGAAGGTTTTCCCTTAGCAGTACCCGTCGGGTCGGCTGTGAAACCCCCTGGAGTGGCGCCCTCATAGTGGTCTATATAGAATACTGCCGACCCACCGCCTGCTCAGTCCCTTCTTGCTGGAAGACTCCGACAGAGGGGAGGCAAGTGGGATTTGGAATGGACATGAGCAACACATCTCGAAGCCGGGACGCACCGTCACGTAGAGTGGAGCACCCACAGGGACTTCTGAAAGCATGCTCCACACCTTGTCCCGCTCAGATTTTGGACAGCACTTCAGATTCCTAAACCTTGGGTCTAGTGCTGTAGTTATTTTTAGAAATCTCACACTGGTACCTTCTTTGCGTTTTGTCAAATCTGCTGTGAAAGTGTTCTTCAAATGAACATGAGCTAGGTCATCCTCTGAGACTGCTATAACATGAAATATATGGCAGAATGCGGGTAAATCAGAACGGGAGACATACAATTCTCCCCCAAGGAATTCAGTCACAAATTTAATTAACACATTATTGTTTTTAACGAGCATCATCAGCTTGGAAGCATGTCCTCCGGAATGATGGCCGAAGCATGAAGGTGCGTACGAATATTTAGCATATCTGGCATGTAAATACTTTTGTAGCCGGCGTTGCAAGGTCCCATGTGAACACCTGTTCTCACTTTCAGGTGACATTGTAAATAAGAAGGAGGCAGCAGTATCTCCCGTCAATGTAAACAAACGTGTTTGACTTAGCGATTGGCTGAACAAGAAGTAGGACTGAGTGGACTTGTAGGCTCTGAAGTTTTACACTGTTTTGTTTTTGAGTGTAGTTATGTAACAAAAAAAATCTACATGTGTAAATTACACTTTCACAATAAAGAGATTGCACTACAGTACTTGAATGAGGTCAAGTGAAAAATACTATTTCTTTTGTTTATCGTTTTTACAGTGCAAATATCTGTAATAAAAATAATATAAAGGGAGCACTGTACACTTTGTATTTCGTGATGCAATAGAAATTAATATATTTGAAAATGTAGTAAATCATCCAAAAATATTTAATACACTTCAATTGATATTCTATTGTTTAACAGTGTGATTAATCACGATTAATTTTTTGGAGTTAATCGTGTGAGTTAAGTGTGATTAATTGACAGCCCTAGTTAAAACTATACACATACTTCAATTAAACCTTTGATACTAGCTATCTGAATAGGGCTCAGACAAGACAAATCTCAATTCCTCACATCAAGTACTAAAATGATGCCGAAGTATCACAGTCTTTCACCGAACAATTTTATTCAACATTAATCTCCTGCACGTCTCAGTTTACAGAAAGGACTAAAAGAGTCACAAAAATGATCATCCTTGTACAGGAGACTACCTCAAGACGTCCCTACCTGAGGGGAAGGATCACTAGCCTGCCAGCCACGGCAGTCACCAGGGAACAAGCACCACCTCCCTGGCCAGAGGAGACTGAGGCAGAGGCCTAGGAGCAGCTGGCTTAAGACAGACCCGGATGAAAGAAGGTTCCGACCCTGCCACACCTTACCGCTGCCCTGGGACTGCAACAGGACGCCACCCAGAATCTATGAGGGGCACTACTAGAGACAAGCCACCACTGCAATGTGGATTAAAGGGGCCACGCCCAAACTGAAGGGACAACAGTAGGAAGTAGCCCAGGACAGCGGATGTAGACTCCCACTGGTAGGTCCCTTACTCAGGAGTTGACTTCCAAAGGATCCTGAGCTGATACAGATGGAGTGGGAGGGCCTGGCTCCTCCTAGCTCCCCTGCAGCCTTAAAGACTGAGACACCTTGACCAAGCAGGGGGCTGGAAAGCAAGCGCTCCAACCACTAGGCCACCCAGCCCTCCAAGCCCTCTGCTACAATTATTTAAAGAAACATTTCTGTAAAATACTCCAGAACAAAATATAGGAAATGAGGATGCATTGGCTGGGGGAATGGGACGCTCACTAAATAATTTAACAAGTCTAATCCTGAAAAATCTGTGTGTTCAATGGAATACACACATTTAGGCATGGCAGATTTATGCACAAAAATGCCACAGTTGCATGAACTAAACCAGGATGTGCAAACATATTTGGCCAGTTATGACCCTAGATAGCCACATTTGCCACCAACTACCTAATTTAAACAAGAAGTCATGGGATTTGTAAAAATACATTAGATACTTGCAAACATGCTTGTATATTCAAGGTATGTCCACACCTTAAATACTGTGTGCAGTTCTGGTCTCCCCCATCTCAAAAAATATATCAGAATTGGAAAAAAGTACAGAGAAGGGCAACAAAAATGATCAGGGGTATGGAATAGATTCCATATGCAGACAGATCAAAAAGACTGGGACTGTTCAGCTTAGAAAAGAGATGACTAAGGGCAGTTATGATAGAGGTCTATAAAATCATGAATAGTGTGGAGATTGTGACTAAGGAAGTGTTATTTACCCCCTCCCATAACACAAGAACCAGGGGTCACCCTATGAAATTAATAGGCAGCAG